AACTCACTGAGAATAAAAGCTGTAAATGTTTATTTAAAGATCATATCTGTAAGGGAACAAGAGGTTAGTAGTCATATTTGAGAAGCTTTTTACAGAAATTCTTCTTCTGTTGAGTAGGACTTCAGTACAACCCTAACTACACTTTCTATGGTCTAAACTGCTGGGGTTTTCTTCTCAGGAAACCTAGTCTGGATTTCACTTTAAGGGAAATAAGTATTTGAAATGGCAGTGAAAATTCTATACATCTTCAGTTTACTGTACAAGATATAAGGACTAAACTAATAGAAGAAATTATCCAGGAAGGGAAATTAAATGAGTGCTGTGCTTTAAAAGTTCTTCTCCACTAGATGTCACTACAACCCAGTGCTCAGGACTGACCAGCACCATGGGAAAAAATAAGGTTTGATAAAGGATAATTTGAAAAAAGGCGTAATGTCATAGTTGGAATCACAAAACCTCTTAAACCAAACTTTCTGCAGTTAAATGGAGGTAGAACTGTTACTTCTGACTGAATGAAATGGCATATGCACACTGAACTGGCTTATTGATTTATTTTTTTAAATGTATAGATTACATTCCATGTCAAGCAGATTTATGTGGTGCATACTATAAACTTCAGTAATAAAATAAAGCGATCTAAAAATAAGGACTCTACATTTAAATACAAAGACAAAAAGCAACTACTTACATTAAAAATATGTCTGAAAAGATATTGACAAAATATTCATATAATGAAAGAAAGAAAAAACTCTCTCTGACACCCTCATCCAATCTAGTTGGCTTTTCTAAAAAAAACAGAACAAAGCAATTTTCACCTAACTATTGAACTCCCAGAACAGAACAATCCTATAGACTTCTGTTGACAAAAAAATTAATTATAAAAACAGTATTATTCAGGATCTTTGCAACCGGATATGTTGCCACAGGATTGGGGAATAAGGCTGGCTGCAGAACCTGGGGGGTGGGGGTTGGTGTGAGGGCAGTATAGCATTAGCAGACTTATAGGTAGGAACTGACTTGTAAAGTATGTTGGCCCAGATGGCTTTGAATTAGTCACGGAGGCAAATAGAATGTCAGTGCTGTAGAGAGCAGAGGGAATGGCCTTGAAGGAAAGAAGGAAATGCTTCTACCAAGACAAAGGTCAGATAAAAGGGGCCTGAGTCCAGGGCAAGAATGCAACACGAGGAAACGTCTCAGACCAGCCCATTTCACATGAAGATGGAGGCAGCTCAGACCAGCTTCATTTCACATGAAGATGGAGGCAGGGGGGAAGTACATTCAGACTTGCAAGATTCTGCTACTATAGCTTTACAATAAAAGTAGTATTGACCTACATGGCTTTGGTTTCTTACTCTGATCTCCCTTGAAGGGCTGACAATGCTGAGGACAAAATGAGAACATTTCCCACAGTAGGTCCTTGCAGTGATGTATTTAGTACCTAAGTTTGTCAGCCAACTGGAGAAGAATATATCATTTTTGGAAAATTGCATCTCTGGCTGAAAGCTCTTTGTGCAAAAAAAAAAAAAAAGAACTTCTAGTTAGTCACAGAGGTCCTGTCAGCAGTCCTTCTCTGCAGTATGGATAAATGTCCTGAAGTCTGGGAAATTCTGGAGTCTAGGAAAACTTAATGAAAACAGGCACATCCACAAGAGGGACTGAATAATTCCTGAGGAAGGTTCCTCCATCAAACACCCGGGCAGTATTGGTATCCATCCATTTCTGACCTTCTCTAGGTAAGTAGATATCCCTCTGGAATTGCCCTTGTTCTGTTACTGGAGCAACAAGAACCTGCATTTAACAAAGATAATATCATTAATAGTATCTGAGAGACAGAATGTGTATAAATATAGTTGATCTTAAGATGGAAGATATGAAGGTCATTTGAACCCTGTCCATTATTATCTGATCATATCTGCTCTAGGCATATCACAAAGCTGCCCAGACAAACTTTAAGAACAGTAAGAGACATTTTTATCCTGCACCCTCTGATATCCTTCTAAGATGCACTAATGATGATGAAATAAGGAATTGGTATTATCATTATAGATGTGTTGTGTCTTAAATAAGGGACATTTCTCAACTATCTTTTCAATTCAGCATCAAGTACTTAAGAACATTGTGTCATATTACAGCAAGTCACCTCATGGCCCTCAGAATTTTGAAGCTCCCCTTAGCCTAACCTGCCCTAATCAGGGTGTCCTCTAAATGTGGACTTCAACTTTCAGAATTCCCTAGCTAGCATAGTCATTACTGGGCATTTTGGAGTAGAAATGCACACATCTGAAGGGTACACAGATTGGTTGAAGAAAACTATCTTGGTCCCTTGATGCCTCTCTAGTCTCTTTCCCCATATGATGTCACAGGCTCATCTAATTACTGGGAACTAGAAAATAAACTATGGCCGTTTAATAACTGAATACATAAACTAAATACTACTATCCCTTTCTGGGGAAAGTCTACTACCATCTCATGCTAGAAATCCAGTTGGGTGGGTGGGTAGGAATACGACAGTATTCTTGAAATTCCTGAAAGGAAGTCACATAGAAGGTCAACACCTGTTCCCATAATTCCAAAGTGCAGAATAATGTATTTAAATTATGGGAAAACCAATTCCAACTGAATATTAGAAGAAGCTTCTTAACAATGGGAGCATTTTGATAATGAAGTCAATTACCCAGAGATTAACTTCCCTTCACTGGATTTATTCAAACAGAGGTCAAATAGCCATCTGAAACAGATGCTTTATTTCTTACATGAAGTAGGGGGTTGGACTCAGGGGTTGAATGGCCTTTACCAACTTCCTGAGATTCAACTGTCCAAGGCCTGAGAGGTAATAATGAGGATGAGATGATAAGTATCAGGAAACAATGTGCAGGATGATCTGGATTAGGATACAACAGTCTTGACTACTTAGCCTACCTATGAAGCTTTGTACAGTGGTACCTCGGGATACGAACGCCTCTACTAACGAACTTTTCGGGTTACGACCAGCTCCGGCCGCAAAAATTTACCTCGATGTGCGAACTCCGCCTCAGGGTACGGTCATTTTTCTGCTATGACACGTGGTCGGTGGCTATTTTTCCGCCCCTGACACGTGGTCCGTGGCTATTTTTCCGCCCCTGACACGTGGTCCGTGGCCATTTTTCCACCCCTGACACGTGGTCCGCGA